TGCAGGTACATTGTTACTTATATGTATGCTTTATTTTTGTTTTGATTCTGATATTTTGACTTTGTTTTTGTGTTTTTAGTTCGATTTGTAGTATTGGGTTTTGTGGGTTTGCTATCTTGTTGGGGGTCAGTAAGCAAATTTTTTTTGACAGAAATAGCATGGATATTGTCATTTCATCGAGTTTTGGTAGACCTGAAGTCATTTGGAAAGACATACTACACACCAGTTAATGCCTCATTTACGTGGGTAACTAACATGTTCTAAGATTGCTTCCGTATGAATGCTTAACAAAGAACACACTTATCTTGAACACACTAACAATGCTTGATATCATTGCATCCTATTAATATGTTTGTCTAAGAATGATGATGTTTTGTTATTCTCTGAGATCACCATTTCATTTACTTTGCATTTTTGGATAGTTTTTTACTTGGTTCTTTTTTTCTGCCTACAATTGTAATCACAACCAACAAACAAGCCAGAGGTAAATAAGGACTAGACTGTAAAGGGGCAACACCTCTCTAGTGCATTTTACAAGCAATTGAAGGGCATATATGAAGGGCAGCTCCAACCTTTAAAGGGGCAGCATCCAAGTCATCTATAGACATTCATCGAAGTTATCCCTGGACATTCGTTGAAGTTCGGCGGGTCAGCTGACCCCCCTGCCCCTCAATGCATCCGCCCCTGCCGGTGTTGCTGTCTTGTTTGGCCTTTCATTCTTAGTAAACTTCTGTAGCATATTTGACATTTCGTGGGTGCAAATTATATGGCTTCTTGTACATTTAATGATACGAAGGAAACTTTCTGTACCTTTAGTTTTGGTTGTCTCTGAGAGTAGCTTCCTTCAATGTTTTCGCGAAGATGGCAATGTTCATCATTTGACTAATCTTGTGGCGCTAAAATTTTAGTTAACTATAGTTTATATGTTTGCCTACAAGTGGTTAAAGTGTATGTTTCTATTTTTGGCGATGGGAGAGGGAAGGAGGTTGCCCTTGCTGGGCTAAAGTCAAAAGCCAAATATGTCCGAGGTCAATTGGGAAGGCGTATGAAGCTGCGATTGACTCCTGAGATACGCTTCATAGAAGATGAGTCATTAGAGAGAGGAAGCAGGGTAAACTTAATACAATACTATTTCATATAACTGGGGAAAGCAATACAGTTGGTTTCTCTTTTACTTTCTTCCAGCTTTTTCCAAGAGAGTAATGAGAGTACTTAAGTCGTTTTTTGTGTGGTGACTCTTGCATTAATTAAGGTAAAGATAAGATATAAGTTGGTAAAGTAAAGCCAATTGTGATTGCTCATAGAGGTTGACAAGACTTGGTTATCAAGGTTGGATTTGTGTACTTATAAAATTGCTTCTGAGGTGGGTGTCAATATATGCTAATACGTCAATGGTGAACCATTTCAGGTGATTGCAATATTAGATAAGATAAAGAATGAAAAGAAAGATTCAGAAACCCAAGACGAGGAACAACTGGAATCATCCGAGGCACCTGAGGATGACGTAGATTGGGAGGCTGATGACCCTGATGAAGACATTATATACATAAAATAGTTACTCTCCCTAGTTCCTGAGCATTATGCTATTTTGATTGAGGCTTGGCTACGCTTGTCTACAGGTTTGTTTCATTTTCTTCACTTTCTTTGTTGCAACAGGCTATATGGATTGTAATCAGTGTTAACATTAAATTATATACCGTTTACAAATATATATGTCTGTATGTTTTAATTGTTTCTTTCCATTCGCTGAAATTGGACACAAACATAATTTAAATGAAGCGGACTACCTGCAATTTGGTTTGACAATGCTTGGTCTACTTAGATGCAATCAATTAGTTGTTGGAATCAACTTTAGGAAGGATTAGTGTTGTGTTTGTGTATTTGATTAGAATTTAGATGATGTTGGGATTAAAACTAGCGTACTATGATTGAATTAGGAGTTTTGGTACGGACACACAGAGTGGCCAACTTTAAGGTACAAGGTTTGATCTCTGAACACCTCCCACTCCAGAGGTTTAATAAACTTTATTATGCTCAGAAGAAGTGTATAATGCTTCATTTACTTTCCATAATGCAGGCAAGCACGATAAGTCACAACGCTAACCTAGACAGAAAAACTCTTCACGGCTGGAGCCCCATCGTTTAAATTACGAGCTTCAACCATGGCACACCTTGTAAAATTACCTATAATGTTTCCGTTCTTTTCTTCAGGTATGCTTGTGATTTGCTTTTTGTTTTGGTTATCTAAAACCAGAAGCAGAAATTGTGGTATTTATAGTGCTAGATAGTTCACGAAGTTGACAATCCACATGATGTGAATGAAATTCTCTTATAAACCTGTCTGCCTTTGTGATATTCTGCTGTGTCTGTTCTACTAGGGTCGCTTTACTACCGATATCACCTACTAGTTACTGATATTTGTGGTCAATAAGGTGCCGCAGCACTAGCTCGTATTCTCGTCCAGTGGTCAGATTACCGGGACAGAACTGAAAATTTATCATTAGCACGTCGACGAGCCTTGGACTCTATTTACCCCATGCTGGGAATTAAGAACGTATGATTTGCAAAAGAAGTAGTCTGTGTTGAGCATCCACGGGGTTTGGATTTAAAAGTTTAGGATTTAAAAGTTTAGGATGATGTATGATGTTACAAGAGCAGAGGCAAGGATGAAATATGAATAAATGGAGTTTTCTAGAGGTGCAAAACTAAATCTACCCCTACTCTCGAGAAACTTCTCTCCCTCTGTGAGAGTCTCTCTCTCCACCCCCGTGAGAGCCTTTTCAGCCTGTGTGCTGAGCCTTCTTCAGACTTCATCTCCTCCGCCGCCGGCCCTTGCCATGGCCTGGGTCGGTGGCTCTCGAGTTTAGTTCTCCCTGCAATATTTCTGCTGATCGTCACCAATTTGTGCTTTAATTTTTCAAATCCTATGCCATCAATTCCAATTTCTTTTCACTATCTTTCCCATCCCCCACCTCCTAGGCTTTCCTCTAACCCATTTGATTTCGGATTTGTAGCTACTTTCCTTAAAGGCGTTTTGTCGCGATTTTCTCAGGGTGTGCGTAGAGCTCCAGTGCAGGTAATTCACCACCACCTCTCATGGATCGGGAAGTGCTTTTTGCTCCGGTTCAGGTGTTTACGCCACCACCTCCCATGGATTTGTCTTCAACGACTTTGTTGCCTTCGGTGACTATGTTGCTGATGAGTTCTCTCACCAGCTTCATGTGTTTCGTTACTAATCCGTCATGTATGATGCTTTGTGAAGGTTGTTAGAGTTGTCTTTCCATCATTTTTGTGGAATTGTTTGGTTGGATTTTTGACGTCTATTGGATGGACATTCTCCGGCGATGCATCGACGGAGGTTGCAAGGAAGATAGGGTTTTCTGTTACTGGGCTCAAACTTTTGGTTTGGGCTTTGTTTTGGGGGTCCATATTTTCTTTTGGGTTTTTCTTGTAATTGGATCTCAACTGTTATAAATTTTAGTGTGGTTTGGTAATAAATCTTCCATTTTTACCAAAAATAAACTAAATCTACCCCTTTAGCGAATAGTTACACCACTATGTCTTGTGATGAAGGGGTGTTACAAATTTATGCGAATTTTAACACATCTGCCATCCCTAACGTAAATTCCAAACTCAAGTCATTATAATTGTGTGGACGTGTAGCATGACATCGAGTTGTATGCCCTATAAATGTGTCTCCAAAGACATTCAACGAAAGTTGGAGTAAGCAATTTTACTGTCTTCTATGATGAATTTCAGCTTCCAATGACTGGTACAACCTTATTTTTGAGCTGTCGGTCTGTCTCACTAGAAGTAAATCTATGGGTTGGTACGCAGAATTGGATTAGAATGAAATAACTTTAATTTCAAGCATGTCAGAGGTGAGAAAAAAATTATAACCATTACTCATATAAAAAAAAAAAAAAGGCTTATTTTTTGCGATGCCGCTTAAACTTGTCTTCAATCTCACTCTCCCTCTAAAATTTAAATTTCGCCATTTAACACTCTACAACTCAGTTTTTGTCCTACCCTGCTATTTTCCTTCAATATTGTTAAAAAAAAAAAATCTTTTTTTATTTTTATTTTTATTTTTATTTTTTTAACAAACGATTTGTCTGTAGTGGGTTAAATTGTTAAGGGGAGAGAGATCAGTAAAATTTGAACTAGCACGAGAGTGCATTGACATTATTACTTTCTAGCATTATGGTTAAACGCCATTTGCTAAAAAATAATAGAGAATTGTTATTGATACTTCAAAAATCTCATTTTGTACTTGTGAAAAATGTAGAATGAGATTTTTGAAGTACTAATAACAGTTCCCAAATAATATTAAAAACTTGAGAGATGTAGAGAAACAAAAGGAAGAAGCTTGCTTTTGCTTTCAAAGCTGCCTCAAGGTTTACCGCCCTCCCCCATATCGCTTGTGAAGTAATTTCTCGACTAACCGAACTATTCAATATCATAATATCAACAAATATTATTAATGCATATATTTTTGGTGGTTCTGAATAATGTACGTGATGAAATTGAGCCTTAGGCCAATACCACACAAGCTTTTCAACCTCAAATGGAAGCATAATTCCAATTTCCCCACAAATCCTAACTTGACATTTTCCATTGCTCTCAAAGGCATCGTTTGGTATGTAAGATCGGATTAGAACGGATAACTCTTCAATTTAAAAGTCTGTTGAGGGAGAATGAATACATTATGTCTAACTAGAGGGTAGAATACGATTACTCATGAAGGAAACTTATCAATCCCAATCCTTTCCTAAATGGTAGGATTAGAAGGGATGAGTTTTCTTCATGTATAATTCTCTTATAATCCCCGCCAACTGAAAAATTATTCACTTCAACCTTCAACATATCAAACGAGCCCAAAATGTTAATTAACATAGGCACATGAGTACTGTATCTCAGTCACCCACGTATCCATATCATGCAACAGGCTGACATCAAATGATAATTAACCATTATAACAAAATCACCTACTAGCGAAATTGAAGACCGAAAACAATAAGCATCTTATTCATCACGGGAGCATTACCCTCAAAATGTTCGCTATGAAATGGAAATCTAAAGCATCCTAAGTACCAAATTCATAATTCTCAATTCAAAAAAAAATCAAAAATAAAAAAAAACCTGGAACTTAAGCAAAGTTTTCATGGTGCACAGAAGCTTTAAGAATCGAAATATTGGTACAGTCCACCCTTTCGTATTATTTCTATCTGAAAACCAACTCATTTTTCATTCACAACTTCTGATAAAACACATCTCCTTCAGTGATGAGCCTTTGCCGCAGCCTTTTGTTCAGATTTAGCCTTTGCCTTAGTGGGGAGATAAAAAACAGAAGGATATAAGCATTCGTGCACAAATAAAACGACATGGTGTAAGGCACAAGACTGTCACACAACTCAAACAACATAACACATAATTTCACATTGCATTATATGCTAGCATCAACTTTGGGTTGAACAGCTTAACAATTTAAATAAAGGGGATAGCTTCAGGTTACATTTCCCATTCCATTAGTTGCCCTAGTTGGTCAAATACCAGACCCGTATCCTTATAATGTCATGTTAAACATAAAAGTTGACAGTTATAACATATATACACATATTAAGTTGTGGTGAAGTTTTGATTGGTCATGATCAGAACGAAGAATATTATGGTAAATTGATAGGTGGTTAAAAATGTTAACCCTATGACTACTTTCATTCTCCATTTCCAGTTTCGGAAACTGGAGCAACCCCAGTTCCTTTCTAGGACACTGCTGCTAGACTTCCTTTCACATTTGAAGATAAATCTCAGATTTGCCCCTAACTTCAGGCAATTAATTATCACCTTAAAATCCAGCAATTCACAAAGGGTTATAACTTATTTCTCTCTCACATTTTACTCGAGCATAGTTTCGGACATTGTGCTTATTTATATGACAACAAGTTATCAACACATTGACAAATGGTTAGCAAATATTTTAGCCAAAACCCTCCCTTTCTCACAAAACTCTATGCAGCCTCGTCATTTTTCTTTTTCCCTTCACATTTGTAATTGTTTCTCTAAAATATATGTTACTAGTCACATTTGCATTGACCAATTCTGCTGTCAAATCACCCCATGCATTGAAGACTTGAGTTTTGATAGTGAGTTTGTGTAAGTTGTCTTTGTGGGTTGGCAGTTAAACCACTAAGAAGCTATAGTGAAGACATTGGATTGGTTGCATGCAGCTTGAGTTAAGATTTAATAGCCCAACCTAGAAGTCTTCTTGATGTGAGAAGTCCTTGAAACCAAAAAATATTGTAATCTCTATACAGTTTCACTTGATATTCTTTACCTCCTTGTGTATTGAATACGCTGCTCAAGCAATCTGAACTCGCTCAAAGTGCAAGCCACTCAAAATAGAACCACTAAACTGTTTACAACAGCTTGGTTTCCTTATGAATAGTTTATTTTCACTTAAAAGACTTTGTATGCACTTTTATGAAACTTTAGAAACGCATTTATTTATTTCAATGGATGATTTGATGCTAGAAACGAAGCTGCAGTTGGAATATTTAAGTTTACTTCTAGAATTTTCCATGCACAATGTGCATTTCTTTCTTTCTTAGACACACTTCGAATTGAATTCTTTCATCTTAACATAGTGGGCTGCATTATTATGCTTGACCATTGCTCTAAAGACTCAGGCTTTTTACAAGCATAGCCAATAATCTAGGCATTGACATTATTTCCTATTTGTAGAGCCCCTCTAAAACATCCTTATACACCAATATCTGTTATGTGCATTTTGCAGTTTTGTTGAAGGAAAGTTAACACTTCCATCCAAGCTTTGCGATAGGGAGCATACTTGGAGGTGAAGAAGAGTTCATTGCTTGCATACAGCCAAATTAATAGACCAAATTTAGAGCCTATTTCTATTTCCAAATTTTTGACATGTGGGAAAAGGCTTTGTTGTTGTTGTTGTTGTTGATCACATAATTGCAACATGCTCGGATTGACACATGGTCGAATGCCCCTACAACTAAGCAATCACATACGTAAATCAACCCTAACTGAAAAAGGAGAGGACTAAAGAAAAATAAAAACTCATCAAGAAAACATCACCAAAAAAAGATAAAATAAAGAATAACAGAAGACAGCATATGTACGTATGTACATTGTACAAGTTAAACAAACTATTTCTCGATTATTACTACTCCTGGAGCCAAGAAGTCGGATTTCAGCTTCGCATGTCTCTGGCACTACTGAAATTTTATGTTTGGTGTTACCTTAGACTCCGCCAATCATTTAAAACATCAAGTATGATTTAAGCATTAATTAACAATCTCTCTTATTTCAAGCAACTTTATTCATAAAATAGAAGAGTTCCATACCTAATTTGCTGCTTCACAAATTTTAAGACAAGGTTGATGTCTACGATATCAGCTCACCAAATGGTGCTTATGAAAATACACGAATTCTTCGTATGAAAATGGAACCAAACGAATACAAAAAATTTAATCTTTGGAATCGATTTGACCAACATCGATTAAAATCCGCATTACTTATTAAAATCTACAAAAATTTAAACAAACCCAATATAAATTTGTAATAAAAAGTACAAAATTAACTCATAAAATAAATAAAAAAAGAGCGTCAATTGAAAAGAGAAAAAGAAAAAGAAAAAGAAAAAAGGAAAGGAGGTACCTGGAGATACTTGAGCTTAATGCTTCCGTATACGAGTCCAAAGGAGAATGCGGAAGCCCGAGCCACCTGCAAATCACCAAGAACCCAGATCACCAATTAGATTAACAACTACCAAATTGGTCCAAAATCCACACACTAAATTTTTTTTTCCTAAAATATAAACTAAATAAAAAAAAAAGTTAGATCCGGAATGAAAAGAGAAAATTTAAGAGAAATTAATACCAAGGCGAGGGTGCTGGTTCCAGAATAGGGTCCAGGAGGCGGCGCCATTGTTGTTGCTGGAGAGGACGAGACTGACTGTTAAGCAATTAGACGAAGCGAACAAGAAGGAATCTGTAAAACCTCCCAAAGTCACAAAGCACCAAGCCCTGCTACTACAGTTCACCGTTCCATTGCTTTATATCGAGTAATTGCGGACCTGGATTATCTACCCCATTTGGGCTTTCTGCCTGATTTTACCGGGTTTAAATCCTGATCGTACATTACTGTGGAAAAGTATGCGGTCGTTATCGTACGTCCACTTGTTCCATATGGTTGGGCCCACTATTTGTAGAGTCAACCAATAAAACATGGTCTACTATCGCTCACCACCTTACTTATTACAAAATTTAAAGTTACGCAATAGTAATAAATAGAGTGATGATCATTACTATCACTTCAGGGAAGTGAGCAATTATATTCTAAATAAAACACCAACATGTTGTCTTATCTTTAGGAATAGAGTTACTAACCTACTTTATAGAAGAGAATATTTTTGGTCGTATCACTCAAGTGATAGTGATATTCACCATTCGTGTCGTGTTTTTCGTGTTCGTGTTGCTTTTGTGTCATAACCGATATCTTAACGGGTCGTATCGTGTAACACCTGTTAAAATAAACGGGTAAAATGACCCGACCCGATAATATTAACAGGTAATATAACCTGATCAGTTACCCGTTAAGGAAAATATATTTTAAACCAATAAATAATCAAATGAAAAACATAATACTAAATAAGTATATACATACCATATTGTCACATCCAAAACATAAAAACGCATTTTTCTTTTAAATATATTTTCACTTACCTAAAGTCTTTAATAGTTTTTTAATTAATGTAGAAGTGTAAAAAAATATAGAAAATATATATGAACGCTCGTAATGACAAGCTTTACAACTTTCATGAAGAGCTTAACTTCAAAATTCGCCACTATAATCATATAAATCATAGATCAAAATTTAACCGTTGATTATTGTTTACTGTTAAGCGTTATTGTTCTCATCAAATTTTGTTTTTTCAGATTTTCTTTTTTGAAAAGTCAATCTATTAGAGGATGCAGGAAGATGGACGGTTTGGATCGTTGATATTATATTCAGAGTTTTACGGTTAGTGAAAATATTGCTTGATGTTTATAAAGTTTCTACAAACTATTTGACATCGACTCATATTTCAGTTAACCGTAAATATTGAAACGTGATATCAAAGATCTGAACCGTTCATGTTCTTACATCTGCCAGATGATCATGTTTTCAAAAAAATATTCTAAAAATGAAATTAAGTAAGAAGAATAAAGTATAAATGACAATCGACGGTTAAATATAAATTTAAGGTTTATGAATTATAGTATTAGATTTCGAAGCTAACCCCTTCATGAAAGTTGTAAAGTTTGTCACTATGAGTGATTGTATATTTTTTTTTACATTTTTTACACTTCTACAATAATTATTATTAATATTATTAATTTTTCCCTCAAATAAAAAATATTATTTATGTGGGTTTGGAGGATTTTAAAAATCTAAACAATAATGTAATCGTAACCATTATCTATTCGTGGAGGAATAGTGATGAATCACGAGTGTTTATATATTATTTCACATTTTTCATACTTGTATGTATGTCTTCTTAGTTCTTGCCTATACAAATACTATATAAGTTTATTTTAATTTTGGACAACAATATGTTAAGTAAAATTTATCCTAGTAATTATAATAATGAACTCTCATAATAAAAATAAATAATGACTAAAACTTTTTTTTAAAACTTATATAGAATAATAATACAAAACTATATATTGTATATACTAATATGGCTATTGTATTTTATAATAAATCTTTTAGTAATTAAACTTTAAAATTATCAAAATAATTTTTTTCTTAACGGGTCGAAACGGGTTACCCACGTGTTACTCGCGTGTATACCCGTTAAGAACCCGTTATTAACGGGTCACCCGATAATGACCCGATAAGTTATCGTGTTGACCCGAAACCCGTTATTTTCGTGTCATTTTCATATCGTGTCAGAAACTGCCAGGTCTACTCTTTATCACCGGTAAGTGAGTTTAAATTTTGAAATATGTGTAGTGTATAGACACAAATTTCAAAATTTAAACTCATCCAAAAGTGGTAAATAGAGTGGTGAGAAAAAATGCACCCCCTTATTGCAAGGTTCTAAAAGATACTAGGCACTAATCAAGGGGTGAGTTAAATCTTAGGCCATCTCTAACCGAAGGGTCCAGATGATCGAAAATAGCCTGAAAAAATGTCTCCAACCAAAGGATCCAGATGGCCAGAAGGCCGAAAATAGCCTAAAAACCGTCTCCAACCGAAGGCTAAGCCAAAAGGCTTGTGGGCCTCACTGGACAAAAAATGGCTAAAGGGCCAACCGGCTGGCCCAACTCAGCTAGCTAACCAACCCCGAGCTAGGCCAAAATTTTCATTATTTCTGTCAGTTATATCCAACAGCATTGTACTTATTCATGTCGGTTATATCCGACAGGAATGGTAGGCCAAAATTTCAAATACAACGGCTAGTTACCGTTGGATTCAATTTTTTCTTTTTGGGCCACTTTTTTTTTTTATGAATTTAATTTGTAACTTTTAAATTTAATTTGTAGTTTTTAAATTTAAGTTGTTTTTAAATTTATGACACACCCTGATCCTAGAATCAAGACGTGCTGGTCGTCACGTGAGTGTGACGTAACCAAAAGTGCAGTGCGGAAGCAAGGGATATGAAAAATACGAAGGAATAAAAACCAACTACTAGCAGTAATAACCAACTAGCATGCTAGAGTGAATATAAGTGTGCAGTACACCAGTTCAGAGCATAAAGAAAACTAGGTGCAGTCAAGTAGGACTATAATTAAAGTACAACACCCGCAGGTGAGTCCTACATGCAGGAAGTCTGTTAGAACACCGAAGAAAACCTCGTGAGTCGCCAACTGCTAACTAGAACCTGGTGGGGCGCAAAAACAAAATTGAGTGGGTCAGTAAAACCAAAGTTTCCCAAAACATTTCAATAAAAACATTTCTAGCCCCTCACTGTAAAACCTGTATACTTTCCCAGAAAATAACGTAATAGCATATAAAACCTCATACGTCACAAGTCACCAATCTATCACAAATCCAAGGATATGCCATGCCATTAATGTCAATAACAAAACATAGATGCATCAAAATAACAGGTGACATAATGAATTAACCGAAGACCCTGCAGTTGGTCCTGTACGGTTAATTCCATAATTCAATATCCAACCCAGCCGGAGTCACCACGGTGACCTGTACGGCACTACTCTGCACATAAGTCGGAACTACCTGAAGTAGTCTGTACGACAAGAATGGTGTAATGATACGCTCTAGTGCTTCTCTCATAAATCATCTGCGCGCGTAATCTAAGGTCACCTACTAGTCGGAACCACTTCTAGTGGTCTGTACGACTAGCATGTCGGAACCCTCTCATGGTTTGTACGACATGCACCTACTTAGATCCAAGGTGAGCGTGCGGTGCGGTGAATAATATAAGCACTAACACCAGGGGTGCAGGTTATGAGTTCACAACACAATTCACATCATCAATGATTCACATAAGTAACATAAAACTCACATGTGCGTCCACAACGTCAATTCACATATATATATGCATTCATATCAATTCATATAATTCATAATATGCATGCATGGCAATTGAAAACATACTTTCATATAGATTCAATTTCTGGGAAAATTAATAGTATAGGTATATACCGAAAACAAAACTGCCCACTCACTGGTAAGTCGATGGGTCGTAACCCCCGTGACGTCCCTGGATGCGCTTATCCTCGGGATAGGTGTCACCTATATGTGAAACAACTATAAAAACGTTAATTTCATGCACATAACCAACAATTCGAAATAACTTCTCATACGGTGCTCAATTTGGGTATATGAATATACCACATCGACCTACTCGACGTCACGGACGTCGAGAAATTTTTAGAAATTTTTTTTGAAGCGGCATGCGCCCCCACGCGCGTCTTCTTCCTCAAGCTCGCCGGACTGAGTTTTCCGGTGGCCGGAAAACTGGAGATTTTTTAATCTCCTTGTTCTCCGTCGTTTCTCAACCGTTTTCTTCGTATTTTATATCAATTTGAAGCCCTCAACATGTAGAATCACATTGGACTAATTTAAGGCTCTAAAAATAACTAAATCTCACCGGAAAAAAATTCCAAGAAAAACCGGCCAACTTTGAACTCTGTGATCCTGACGTCCAAAACCTTCAAACTAAGCACTCTGAGCTTCCTTAGGACCTCACTAAGCTCACTATAAGCTCAAAATTCCCTGAAATTCAACAATTCACGTGTGCATGAACAGTGATCTCAAAATGGGTTTCGGATTTCACGTGATATTGAGGGTTCCAAGTTCTAAAAAGTATACCAATGAACTCACAAGCTTGCAAGGATTCACAAACTTACCTTTTTGACGTCGATCCGTGAAGATTCGAGGGCATTGGCCCTTGTCCGTACCATTCGAGAGGAAGAGAGAGAGAAAGCTGTGAGGGAGGAGAGAGAGGCACGGGGGAGGGAGAGAAGGGTCTTGTGCGTGTGTGTTGTATGGTCCATCATAACTCATCACCATCCATTTTCTTTTTTCCTAACTCCCTAACCACACAAAATACAACCTTACTTTTTTTTTTATCCACTTAATTTTTCCCAAAACTTAGGAAATACATGAATTTAGTCCAAATAACATGTCACACACATACACATACCTTAATACCCGTCAAGGGTACTTCCGTCATTTCACGTCCCCGATATAGAATCCTGGAATGGGCTGTGACAATTTAAGTTGTTGTAGTTTTTAAATTTAAATAATAAATTATGTTTGGCCCATTAGCCCTCAGTTGGAGACGGTTTTTTGTCTGGCCTCCAAAATATTAATAATTTAATGAAAAGTACATGGTCATATTTGTCTCCATCTCCAACCGAGGGTCAAAGGGCCATAGGGCTCGTTTTAGCCCTGTCACAAAAAATCGTCTCCAACTGACGGCCAACGGGTCATAGGGCCAAACATAATTTATTATTTAAAAACTACAACTTAAATTCAAATCCAACGGCTAAGTGACATCATCTAGCAGTTGGATTTGAATTTTTTTGGG